ATAGGTAATTTATACCAGTAATTGAATGAGGCTTATAAAAACTAACGTGACACGGTGAAGCACGATGCGTGAATTGTGGAGGAAATTGGCCATTTTTAAATATGGCTACACGTCATTTCCGGTTGTATTTAACTTCAAACTATTCAGTATTTTTGTCTGGCGTTTTACAGTGAATAAACTATAATAATTCGTTTGGCGTGTTTACAGAAATGCACCTCTCCAAGAATTTAAAAATAAAAACTTCCATATTAGTATCGACTAAGATTACGAATAAAAAAAAAAATTTTCCAAAGGGGGATCAATTTTTTATGTAAATTCATTGTAAATTTATCTCCGTGTGTAACCCCTCCCCTAAAATAAAGGTAAGAATACATAATACGCAGCTCATATGTACTTCCAGAATTAAATTATTGGTACAATAACTTCATATACAAGCTCAATTGACCTCTACACTTCTACATAAAGGGTGGTCCCCTATATAATACAATTTTCTATTTCGACGCTCTGTGGGGGTATTATCAAGGAGAGAGTTTCACATGAACGATACCAGAATATTCATCACTTGAAGGACACCGTTCGGAGAGCCTTTGCAACAGTTTCATAAAATATCACACAGCGCCGCATCATTTTGTGCTACGAAAATGATGGTGTTCATATAGACTTTCTCGATGTTTGACAGCATCAGTGAAAGTGAATAAACTGAATCCAGTACATGTGTTTTGTATTACTGTATTACTTGTTCTTCTATTGTTCTCATTACTTTTTTTGGTAGTGCGTGACAATAGTTTCGGACCACCCTATATAATTCCTTAACTTATCTATTAGTAAAAAAAATAAAATAAGCTTTTTTTATCGAATGGTTATGAAGGCCCACTAAAAAAATAAGAGTAAAAGTGAAACTTGGGTAAAAAAAAGGTTGAGAACTCTTGTCCTTCTATGTTAATGTTAGAAAAGGTAATCCAGCTTCAAGATTATTAAGAAGTGTCAATATCTGTAACTGTCGTCTGCTGCCTACATTTTATAACACATACCGCTGTGTCACACCATGCCAAAATTTAAAAAGAATTAAATTATTTGTTGTTTATTTAAACTTCCAATTCAGTAAACCATAAATTACATTTCTTAAATTTATTGTTGAATTTTTCTACGGCAATTTAAAAAAAAACAAACTCTTTCTTTTGAGTTGAAAGTCTATATTTTTCTCATTGGATTATTTCGTCAATTTTAAGTTTTAGGAATTTTTATGTTATAAATCTAGATCAAGAGCTGGCAACCACCGGTCCCCGGGTCATATCCGGCCCGCGAAGGATTTTTGTCCGGCCCGCCAGCTTAATACCGGGACACTAATTATGTAATTAATTTGTGGAGCAAGTTGCAGAAAAAATACCAGTTGGAGTTAATTGACTTACAATGCGACGATTTTTTTAAATCAAAATTTCATTCCGAATCTACTGCTGACTTCTACAAGAAATATGTTTTGACAAGCGGAAAATAGAAAAGCCTATTCAATAATGTGAAAATGATTGTATTATTATTTGAAAGTACATATGCTTGTCAACAATTTTTTCTCGAAAATGAAATCGACTAAAAGTCGTTTAAGAGCAAGGTTGGGTGATGACCACCTGAATGATGTTTTTCTCCTGCCATCGACAAATATTTCACCTGATGTAGAGAAGTTATCAAACAATAAGCAAAAACAAATGTCGCATTAAATAATTTGCCATTTCTAACTGTATTTCATCTGTAGTAAGGAATTTGCATTCTTTATTAATTGTGCTAATTGTTATCCTGTAGTAAAATAGGAAACCTTGTTTAAATAATATAGCATTAACTTCGTTGTTTTTTTTTTTTTTCTTTAAAGCTCCAGACCAAGGCAGCCTTCTGGACAAAGCAGTCTAAGATCGAAACAATTTGTAATAATACATTTGACATCATGGCCCTCCTCAAAGACAATATATAGCTTTCTGGCCCGATCTCTCGAAAAGGTTGCCAACTCCTAATCTAGATCTTCGTTAACCTCCAGAAATTTGCTAGTTTTAAGACGTCGCACAACTTTCTTTTTTGAAATAATTAATTTCTTTATAATAATAAAAAAAAAGCTGCATGGACTGGCTTGGCTGAAATAGCCAACCATATTACTGTATGCGGACACAAAGTAAAGATTAAGTTTAACAAATGTTACATTGTACCAAAGATGTACAAAAACACAAGGAATACATTTTTAGATTATAAATACAATGTAAATCGGCCACTTAGTTTAGAACCAATTCCTTCACTTTCATGAAAAAATAAGAAATGTTCTTTAATGAAAAGAAAAAACAAACAAAATCAAGGTTATTTTATTGCTTAACCACTTCGTTTTTATGTACCGTCTCCCTTCATGGCGTGAGCACTCGTGTTTCTCCACGAATTTCTAGCTTTTGTAGCGCTAAGCAATGTTTGTCCCTTACTATCCAGTCCCATTTCTGTTATCTATTTAAGCCAACTTATTCTATAGACTTACTCGCGGTTTTACTCCTACCCTTCTTACCTTCAATATGTCTTATTAGTGTCAAATTTTCCAAGCCCACTTTTCTTACGATGTCCCAGAAATTTCAATTGTTTCTTTCTGATTCTAAGTGCACTTTTTGTGTATTTTTTTCTTTAAACTTCCTCATTGCTCACATGTTCCGTTCATAGTATATTCTCAATATCCTTCTGTAGAAGCACATTTCTTTTGCCTCAAGTGTCTTCTTCATTTGTGAGGAAATTACACAGAATTCACTGCGATATAGGAAGATTAATATTACGTAGCAGTTCGGCGCTTTTTCCTTTATTTCGTACCAAATTTTCTTGTTTGTTAATAACTTTAAATTTATCGTTTGGAAGGAATGTTTCGCTATTCTAGTATGCAGTCGGATTTATGTTACATTTTTCGTTGTCTGTTGGAACACTTCCCAGATTAAAATTTAAGTAATTGACGTCTCTGATTCGTAGCGCGAATCTTGGACTGTCTCTTTTACTAATGACCATTCAGTTTTCTTACAGCTAGACTTTTCTTCCTGATTTCCTTTACTAGATTGTCTAGGAGTTCCTTCAGTTTTCTTTCTGTATCTACTATCAAAATGGCATCATCTGCGTATCATATGTTTTTAAGTTTGTGCCCACCAACAATAGATCCTGGTAGAACTTCTAGTTCTCTTGGACTTGTTGCATTGGTCAAATAAATCCGGTACCAAGACGCATCCATGTCTTACCCCCATTGATATACGTACGTGATCAATTCATTTTCTATTAGTATCCAGGTGTTTTTCTTGCCAGCATAAATATTGAATTATTCTAATCTCTTTCTAAAATAAATCGAATTTTCCTAGCATTTTAAATAGATCTTCGTGTTGTAGTTTATCAACAGCTATCACGTTCTATGTAACGTAGATATATGTCTTTCTGCATTTGTATCGCTTGCTTTAATATCATTCTAATCATAAAGATCGTATTTTTTTTCAACTTGTTCAAAAGTTAGCATATCGCCCGGTTCACACTTCTCCCCAGTTTTTCGAACAGGAGTAGAGGTTTATCCATTGTTTCCTGTTTAGAATTGGATTCCGGGTCATTTTAATATCTGCTTCAGCTCTGTACTCTTTAATGTCTGCGCCTGAACTCTGAAATGTTGTTCACTAATTTATCACATTTATTTGATTTTATAATTTTTTTTCCTTCTTTTTACCAATAGGAGTAGATACGTTCGCCCATCGTCCGGTTCACACTCCTCCCTGGTCTTTTGAACAGGAGTAGAGGTTTATCGCTTGTTTCCTGTTCAGGACTGGGTTTCCGGTTCCCTCTGAAGTCGGCTTCCGATCTGTACTCCTAACGCTTTCCCTTTCCTACGCGAATATAAGTCTACACAATAACCCTCTTCCTTGAGTGACTCTTGAGACTTGTAGTGGGTGAAAATCTAACTTTTTCTTTCATTGCTTGCTTGACTTTTTTTTTTTTACTCATAGGGGTATATCCATTTAATACAGATGTTTATGCTCTTGTTTTATGGACCGGTAATCGTCTTCTGATGCGTCTCGCCATCGTCGCCGTTATTAACACATAGCCAACATAAACAGAGTAAAGATTCAGTTTCAGAAAGTATATTTATAGCTGAAACTCCGCTTGCATCAAAATCGATACATTTTATACGATCTGTTTGTGTTCACATCACCGGAGATGTTTTCTATCTCATATTTTGAGATACAGCTTAAAAAAAGAAAGTCTGCAAATCCTCGTCTGCTGATGTCAGACGATCATTATTTACGTTAATCATTATCGCTGTAAATTGACTGAAAAACAAAAAGCGCATTCTTTAGAACTAATATTGCCACCATTATTTTATATCCCGTCTTTTCTCTGATTTAATAATCAAGTTCATTAGCTTCATATTAACAGAATTAAAGTTTGTCTGACGCAGTAACGTAATGAGTTGCCCTACAATTATTAACAATAATCCTCGTGGACATAGAACTCAGAAAATTACACTTTATCCGTATGGCTTTAGGAAAATCTATGACAAAGTGGAAAAAGGCTAAAGTGATATTTACGTATACACATACGCATGAAGGAGAGAGGAAGCTGAAAATTTTGGATTTAAATGTATATATATATATTTAATATGTGTTTTGAGTATATAGTCTAACCGATTTCATTTAATTTCTTTTATTGTTTTTATCACTTTTGTTATTAGATATCATACATTGTAATAATAGACGATCTGCCAAGAAAGGAGAAATGTAAGAAATTGGACGTTATTTTACTGTGGATTGTCTAGCAATTAAAGCACTTTCTATACATTAGCGTCTTAGTAAACTAATTCCTCTTTTAATTAAAGTAACATTTTTAAATCAAAATTATCGCCACTCGTATTATGGTGAGCAACTAATGCATTTAACATGTTGTTTTGTAAAAGATCCCTTTTGTGTTCATATCATGGCCATGTTCATATAATCTTTTATTTAAATTCCTCGAGGCTTCTGGATTACGGCCACATCACTTTGAAAGAACTGTTCCCGTAAGATCTCCGAAATTAAGCAACCTCGAGCCTGGTCAGTACCTAGATGTGTGACCACTTGGCAATACCACGTGCTGTAAGTTTGGATGTGCGGGTGGTGTAATGAATAATGGCTCAAACTTGTTTATCGGAGAGCCGAGTTCCAATTCTAGTTGGGTTCGTTACGCGCAAATACCCTTGGAAAAGGTATGAATTCACCTATTCTCCCCAGCTATGGGTTAATTAGTAAGCCTTTTATCACCAAATCATTATTATCTAAAACATTTAGAAAATAAAAAAAGATATTTTCTGGCTTTAGATAACCTGCAAAGGGTTGATAAGCCGTAAAAAAGTAATTCATGAAATCAATCCTTGAGGTTCCTCCTATGTATTCCTTGTGACAATCATTACAAGTAATAGAGTAAATTCCGCCTTGAAGTTTTAGCTTATTATTACTGTTTTGTATTAATTATGTCTTTTATTGTTCTAGAAGTAGTTGTAACAAATTTTATGCTAAGTTTAGATAAATCATTTTCAGTGGTAGTTGTGATAAAGTTGGTGATATATTTTGATTAGTTGGTTTTGTTAGAATGGTTATAGATTTTCCTAAAATTGTTCTTGATATATAAAAAAATCTATATATCGTTTTTTCCATCCCTATGGCTTATAGATGGTTTCAATACTTAAAAGACATTCTATATATCAGGTAGCTTCTGAGTGTCTATATATTATATCCTCTCATCGTTGTATTCTAATTTAAGAAATAAAATCTTCGTCAGTAACTGAACTCCGCTATCCATTCAATGAAAGCAACCTCTTTTTTTCTCTCTCTCTCTTTTTTAAAACTCTTTTATCATTGCCCTGCTTTTCTCGGCTCCTTTTAAGCACTTGACTTGATCAGTCTCCAGCCAGCGAATGTCTGTTCCAAGACCCGGCACTAAAAGACAATTACTTCTGACTTCAAAGCGAACAACACGGCAGAAATCAATATGGAGAATTTCGCAGAAAGCGAGCGCGCAGACGAATGCGCGCATGCGCGAACGAGAATATGTAAGTCTGTGAATACTCTGTGAAAGAGTGGGCAATTACGCGCTTTTATGAAATAACGTGAAAGAGAAATTTTTAAAGAATTGACGAATTTATTTTTAACACATTTTTATTACTTCAAACGTATTGTTTTTCTTTTCTTTTTTTTTTAGCGAATACTTGTGTTTGAATGGACACCAGTGCGTATTATGTCTACTGGCCAGCGCACTTTGTAAAACTTAATAAAGAATGTGTTTCGAACACTGCTGGACAGCATGTTTTCTTTATTAAGTTTTCTCGGGTGCACAGACCGGTAGACGTAATACACACTGTGTAAAAACGAGGCGTCTGTTCAGATACGGGTATCAGCTAAAAAGTAATGTTTAAAGTAATAAGAGATAGGAATATATATTATCTTTGTTGCTTTGTGTGTGTAAGTGTATGTTTGTGTGTGGATAATGTGTAAAAGTGTACAAGTTGTTATATTTTACCCAACAAACGTTACACTATTTTTCTTAATTTTTCTTTCCCTGTCTTCCCTCCATCTCTCTCTCTCTCTCTCTCTCTCTCTCTCTCTCTCTCTCCTTACCAATTACGGCTAAACGAATATCATGAGGATTTTCCCATATGTAAACAAATATATATCAATTACTTATCGCTTTAGGCGAACAATAAAAAAGAACTTTTACTAAGTCTGAAAGTGAAACAGAATTTGCTTGTTTACAATAAATTAGCTAAAAAGAAAGTGGGTGTAGCGACTTGCTCAAAGTATATTTTGAAAACTTAATAAAATTAAGCTGGGTAGAGAAAAATGTTCATAAGAAAGCGGGGACTTAGATTAGTTGCTAAAGTTTAAAAAATAGTCCTTGATAGAGATAGTGTCAGCGAATTTCATGAAATGTTGTTATTGTTCTTACTTGTTCAGGGTCGATAGGTCAACGTAGTAGTGGAAGCATTTGTTATTGAAAGAGTTGCCGAGTGAATGTCGTTTATACTAAACTTGGAGCAGTTGTTAGAGCCTCGTAGAATTATGGCTGCAGCCAGTGAGTCGTATAATCGAAGTAGATGGTTTATATGAGAACAGTTTCAGATAAAGGATTTTGTCAGTTAGGAAAAAAGGATGCTAATTGATTTGCTGACCCTATATGACTATCCCCTTAGAATCCTGTCGTGATGGAATAGTGATTCAAGGTTGATGGTCTCTTCGTTTATATTCGTTCCAGTAGGCTCAACAAGTTATTTTCCAAATTATTGCAGATTTCAAATTTCGTTCTTCTAAATGATTGAAAATAATCATGAAAGCGATCTCTTCTCACTCTTTTTTTTTTTTTCTCCCCAGAACATTTATTTTTTTATATTACTCTGGAGCATCGCTATAATCAGGATCAGAAACAAAACTTATAGAAAGTCCCGTCCGAATACTTCGTTCGTTGAAAATATCCTCACTGTAGGTAGGTGGCAGGGACATAGGGTCGTATATTTTTTGTTCACGGAAATATTTGAAATAATAATTTTGTAATCGTCAAAATGATGATAAAATAGACTGATGACAGTAGTTATAACATAATTCTTTTTCGGTGATTACTGAAATCACCATGCTCATACCGACAGGCTAATTTAAAGAAAGCATTGACCATGATAGCCTCGACCTTGATCACCACACACACACACACACACACACACACACACAGAGAGAGAGAGAGAGAGAGAGAGAGGTGAATTTTGATCTTCCTTACTTGGGTTATTACTTTTTTAAATAATGTGGCCTAATTTCGGTTAGTAATGAGAAGAAAATCAAATAAAAATTTAGTGGCACTAAATGCATCCCCTTGGATAACGCACACACAGATACACAGAGCTAAAAGTTTGGGGAATTTGAATCGCTTAATCATTCCTATCATTAGTCAAGTTACCCAGTCCTCCCTGTGTCTCACCGGACGTTCCACAAATCTATAAAATTACTGAAGCAGGAAATAACGAGGTTCATTTTCTATCATTATCTTTTCTTTCTTTGACGAAGTCAATTCGCGCGTTAAGTTCACTGAACTTTTTAGTAGATGATCGTCTGTCTTTCCATCTATCTCATTTTGTTCATATCTATCTATCTGAATTTCTACTTTTATGATATCAGGTCTGTTGGCTTTTATTTCCCTGTCAGTTTGAATTGGCATGTCGCAGTAGATAGTTACATCGTTATTTGGGGTAAATTATTATTATTATTATTATTAATAGCAATAAATGGCAAAGTTAAGTAAGGATATGCATTAAATTCATATTTCACTGCTGTTTAGAAATTACTTGAGATTTTGCCTGTAAGCATTTTGAACACAAGACGTGAAAAGATAAGAATATATTTTAAACAATATGAATATTAACTTTTTTAATTTTAACTAGATTTTTTGGAGATGTTTTAAGAACATGCTTTATCTTATTATATGATCATGGAACATTTTTAAATTAAATATCAGGGATCAATTTACAATTATTTTTTATAGAAAATTGAACATCACTCTTAAAACTTAGAAAATGAAAACAAAAACTATTTCATATTTGTAATCCGGTATGCTTATTCAATGGTGACATAAAAACAAAAAACAAAATGAAAACTGATTATTGATTTGATAGGTGGGTTTCTGTATAAAAACTGAAAAATATTTATTTCGATTTATTGACCAGAAACGCTATGCCATTGAAGCTGAAACGCATGGATAATTCTTCCTATATGGAATGAAAGTTTTCTGAAGGTGCCTATTCCCAAGGATTCCAACCCATTTCCTTACTCATTGCCTTAAGAGAGGCACGGTCGGTGTATGACAGTGGTCGTGAAGACAGAGCATTATTTGTTCTGAGCTCGTATGGGCATCACTCTCTCTAAAAAAAAAAAAAAAAAAAAGGTAAAATAAAGACATTACGGAGCATCTTGTCTTCGTGGTGACAGGAGGTCAGGTAAATAAAACGAGGCTGTTCATTTCGCGCGCGCAAAAAAAAAAAAAGCAAAAAAAAACTGCTGTGAATTACGATGGATACTTACTTCTGCAATATGACACCAGCTCAGCATTTACATAAATGTTGCGTAAAACCTAATTTCGTTTTAGTCGATTTTTTTTTATTATTCTCCTTTGACGTCAGCCATTGTGGATATCATCGCTCGTAATCAAATTACATTGTGCGTGCGATACAGTTTGACGCCAAGTTAAATTTCTCTTCCACTGTTGTTTAATTATCACAAATATACGGCGTCCTGGGTATGACGATAAACTACATCCGGCAGCAAGGGAGGTTTTGAGGAGTGTGCAACCAATTCTTAATTGCTGTTGTTCCCAGATCTACCCTGCCCAGGGGTGGTAGGAATACCCTGTCCCTGTTAGGGTCCAGCTACGGGCAAATTGTTAACCCTCACCAAAACTGGGGTCAAAACACTATGAAAGTATAAAAATAGATCGTTATAGTAAAAATACCAGTAATACATTTTTGAAAAAAAATATTACCAGCAATACATTTGACTCTCGACCAAAAAATCCTTTACCTTTACAAAAACACCTCAATGAAACCTGATCTACAATCTGATTTCTTACAGAGAATACATATTCTATTCATACGAACCTATCCTAAAAATCTTGCTGACATTAATTAACACATTGAGGCTGATATGCCAAAAAAAAAAAAAAAAAAAACAAATCAAAAATACGTCAATGAAACCTGATCTACAAATTGATTTCATATAAATACGCCATTAAATAACCCATTGAGGTTGATATGCCGTAAAAGAAAATGAATCAAACCAAAGAATACATATTCTATTCATACGAACCTATCCTAAAAATCTTACCGGCATTAAATAACACATTGAGGTGTTGATATGCCGTAAAGCAAAATAGACCAAACAAATATGCGTAAGAAGAAAATGTGGGAGGCATTTGAAGACCAAGATACAAATAGTGCTTTGAAACAGTCGTACGATCACCACAGTTAAGCAATGTCGAGTCTGGTCGAGCCTGGTTAGAACCTAGATGACCGCTTGGGAATACCAAGTGCTGTAAGCTTGGATATGCCGGTGATGTCATTGATAACGGCTC